TCCTGAGTTCCATCAGGGTTCCAGACAGAGAACTTGAGCTTATAAGACGCAAGACCAAAAGTCGGCAATGGTAGTTTTATGGATGGACCCGAATGGTTAGATTCCCTTACATTGCTTGTACCTGTCAAGAACGTGTAATTGTAAAAGAGACAATCAGGACAACCATTCCACAGGCCAATGTTGTGTGTGTGTCGGGATTTACAGTTTTACTTACTTTGAGGTGGTGTTGAAAGAGAATGGAAGGTCAGAAAGCAAGCGTCGAGATTTTGTAGTGTTGGACCTATCGGTATTCTGTATATCGGGTACCTTCATCAAGAAAGAAAAAGTTCAAGTTTCCGTCATATTTCAGAGCCATTATATATGCATATTCCATGCCCAACAATTCGCAAAAACAAAAAAGAAAAACCATATACCACGCCACAGAGACCCAACTTGAAGAGGAGAGATCACAGCTCCGGTATGTCATTAACTCGGGAAATCTTGAAGCGAGAACAGATACCTGTTGCATTAAACGTTGTAAAGCAAAGCTGAACAATAAGAGCTATGTACATGTGGAGTCTCTACTCAAAAGAAAAAACTTTTACTTTGTTAGCAAGAGGTTCACGGCCAAACGGAAGATCATGCTCAAAATACTCGAACATTAACTGTCCTGTAGGGTTACTGATCTCACTCCCATTGTTTGTAGAACCGACAAGGGATTGCTCTTTGAGGGACACTGTATTCAAATTCCTGACATTTATATCCACCGCCTTCTGCTGAGTCTTACCATTGTTAGGTACTTTCCCGAGCTTAGCATTGCTGCTTCCCTCGCTGCTCGTTGTCCCCTTCAAGGACTCACCGTCTCCATCTTCAACCAGCTCCCTGTTAGAATGGCAACAAACAAAAACTATATCAAACAGTAAAAACAAAAGGCTCTTTCTCTCGGATCACATCAAGATCAACATTTGGGCATTACAATGATCGCTTGAAAGTTGAAAAAGAAAACTAACCTCGATTTCTGGATAGATTTGGTCGGGTCTATGTACAGCTGAACCCCCGATAAGTACGGGACGTAGTATTGCACAACGGAGTCACTCCCGTTAAGTACCAGAGGAACACCAGCACCATAAACACTCCACTCTGCAAATGATTCCCAGAGATCCTCAAGAACAAAATAGGGTTGACACTCCGTGTAATGATTTCTTGATTCCCTAGAGCTCCTCTGGAAAAACGAGTTTTAGGTTTAAGAAACATGCAATGCCTCAGAACTAGACGGAATCTCAACATAAACTCAACGTTTCAGATCAATTCCACCAACCTATTACATTCATATCAACATCCGAATCCCATTTTCTTGGCAACCAAACAGGTAGAACTAAAAAACGATTAGAGAAAAACATTGACGGGAGTCTACCTTGGGAAAACACCGAGCCATAACCGTAGGAGTGGTGTGCTCCAAGAACCGATCCAAATTGGACGCGTTGTTCGCAACACGACCCGACCCGGAAGATTCCGACGACCCACATTCCTCCGACACAGAAACATTCCTGTTCTTGCTTTCCGGCGGACCAACCACGGAAAACCCCTTCCTCTCCACCATCGCTGTCCGCCGCTCCTTCTCCGTCTCCTCCTCCTCTTCGAGTTTATGCTTCTCCTTCTCCCTCATCTGCTGCAATTGCGCCTCCTGCTCCACCCGCCGCATCGGCGGCGGGTTGTAGAAGCGATTCTCGCCACGGATCGCCGTGCGCGCGATGGAAACTCCTCCCGAACCCGACATTGCGCGAAATGAAAAACCCGATCGCTTCGCTCGAGAACCCACCCAGTTGAAGCAACAAAAGCGAAACACAATCAAACCCAACACCAAAACAAACAAACAAACAAAATTTGCAAATTTCTGGGTATTCTAACAGAGTTGTCCAACTCCGGAGAGTGTCGCTAGGGTTTTAGCGATTTGGGAAGACGATTGCAATTTTGATTATTATAATCACCAGGAAAAAAAAACGGAAATGATAAATTTAGAGACATAAACCTCAATAATTTAAATTTTAAAAAAAAAATAAAAATTGAAGGAAGTGGCGAAGAATGTGTTTGGAGCGAGTGAGGGCAGCGAGATGCTTTTTTGCCTTTGTTCGGACTTTTTTTGGGATCACAACAACGACGAGGGCAGCCGTGAATATTTCTCTCTCCTTCCATTAAATGGTACTCAATCTAAAATTACGCTTTTGCCATTGGTTCTTTACTACATTTTGTTGGGCCGACCTTGGGCCTGGCGGTTCAAAGCCCGTAACGTTTCCTCCCTTTTACTCTAGTATTTTTTTTTTGGTAAAAAAGCTGTTTCTTTCTAATTTATGAAAAGAGTAATTATTGTTAGTTAGGGGATTTTAAATTTGATTAAAACCATTTTGCAGGTGAAAGGGTTTGAATTACACATTGTTTAAAGGTAGACACAAAACATGATATGATTGATTGATGATGATGCAAAACACACACGTGTAGGATCTTTCCATTCTATTATTTTTCCCCTTTATGCCATGGGTACAAAATTTCCTTCTCTTTTTTTTTTTTTGCTTACACATGAATGAAGAAATGAACCTGTACAGATATTATATTATCATACAAGCTGCAAAAAACACAACATGAACTCCCCCACCCCCCACCATGTATTCTGTTTATGTTTTTTTTTTTTTGGAAGGGAAAGAATCTCACCTGGCTACCACCCTTTTGACAATGATGAATGACGAATGAATCACCGAAAGAATCCTGCGAGGAGAAAAGTCGATTCCTTTTTTTTTTTTTTTTTGTGTGGCTCAGATTCATAACACTGCAGTGGCTCCAGTGTTGATGAGCTCAGGGCAAGGTTCTGGAACAACTGATTCTGAAGCTCCTTGGACATGGGAACACAGCCATGGAACCGCAGAAGCAGAGCTCATCGATAAGGAGACGTTGGATAAGAATACCGAGGTGAAGGGAGATTCTCGAATCCCAAACAACTTCCCGGCAAGGCTTATGTTCTGTCCGACGATGTCTTGGAATCTGATGTGGCTGACCAGAGAGAGGGCGTTCACGTCGAATTCGGCATCCGGGTGAGATCCAAAGCTGCCGTTGGCGACAAACGCGGTGCCGACAGATTCCATCTCCGTGTTGGAAATCACAACCTCTTTGATGTAACCTCCTCTGCCCTTTGTGGTTCTGATTGCGATACCGGTCAACGAGTTGTGAATGTGGGCGTCATCCACCGCGACATCCGATATTCCGCCCGACATCTCACTGCCAAACGAAATTGACGACCCGGAAGCTGCTCGGAGGTAGACGTTTCTTATGTGGACGTTTGAGGTTGACCTCGAGTAAGAGATACCGTATTCGTCCCATCCACTCTTGAGGGAAATGGCGTCATAACCCGTGTTGATGCTGGAGTTCTCGATGCAGACATTATCAGAAGAATCTGTAAGGAAGAAAGAATCTCTTTATACCGCCATTTCTCATAGTTAACCTGAAATTAAAACAAAAAAAAAACAGGTAACGGGCTATAAACTTGTCGATGATGAACTGACCTGGGACAACACCAACTGTATAAGGAGATTCCAGGGATGAACGGACCGATACCTTCTGAACATGAACATGACTGCAGAATACATTACCAAGATCACGAATTTACGTTTCTAAAAACCGATGAACTATTATAGAAAAGGGGCTTTGAGCTTTCTTTACCTGCAATAAACCGAGTGGATGGCATAAGCTGGAGCATTCAAGAACGTAAGATTCGAGACAATCACGCTTTCAGACGAAACAAATTCCACGAGGTGAGGCCGGCTATACTTCAAGGAATGAGAATTGAATTGATCCCACCAAACAGAGCCTTGACCATCTATAGTACCATTGTCACCTGACATGGAACAGAACACAGAATAACCATAAGCTTGTAACATTAAGACGACAACAACATGAACTGAGAGAGGAGGATTGACTAAAATCATCTAAGACGGGCTTGTACCTGTTACCACAACATCATGTAACATATAACCGTTTATCAAACTCCTGTATCTCTTCCCGGGCACATCGATTCCCCGTCCATACGAGGGCAACGGATCAACAACTTCCCAATGTGACGGATCCTTCACAATATTTTGTTCCCGGGAAAAGGGGACGAGCAAAATGAGAAGAAAACACATACGCATATCACCCTAGGATTCAAAGTTTGTAACATTCAACTACAAATCATTTTCCCCACACTCAAATCACTTCAACTGACAAATACGGATCAAGCAAATACCATCTCTTCAGCCTTAAATTACTGATCAATAATATCGTCCAATTTGTCCCCATTTGTGCAGCATTCGAGTGCAGAACATAACTTTGGAATATATGCATCAAGCCACTTCTAAGAAAATCAAGCCTTAAACTTTTGGGTATAACCCTTATGAAAGGCACGGAATTGACCAAAACCATCTCTGCATCCTCAGCTATTAAGTAGCATTTCGGTTTCTCTATACATCAAAACACTTCCATGGATGCGAAAGAGCCACAAAGTTGTACCTGTGGCGCAAGAATCAAGGCGCCTTTCTCGAGGAAGAGGGTGAGATGACTGGTGAGGTTGAAGCTTCCGGTGAGCCAGCGTCCGGGCGGGACGTAGAGCTGAGCCCCGCCTTTGTCGGCGAATGACTTGAGATAGAAAATTGCATTCTGAAAGGCGAGTGTGTTGAGCGTTTTGCCATCTCCGACAGCACCGAACTCGGAAATCGAGACACTGTGTGGTCTCGTGTCCGGTCTCCGGCTAAGATCACAGACGTTTCCGGCTCCGGAATCTCTCGCCTGAATCGGAATCAGACTGCTCAGTGTCAATGCCAGTAGCAGAAGCAATGCCACCTGCAGAAAAGAAAATGACCCATTTAAGTATAAAACATGTCCTCAAGAGCTGAATCAAGCCTCCGAGTTCAGAACACAGATCCAAGTTTCGAACATTGTTTCGACCGATCAGAGTCAGGATTAGGGTTTGCGTCAATGAAAACTGACGAATCAAAACGAAATCTCTGTAACTTCCGTCACTTGGACCAGCGGATCCGGCAAAATGAACGAAAACCCGGAAACCAAAATGGGCGTTGGAAGCATTTGAAGTGATGATCACAGAAGAAAAGTTTCAAACTCGTCGAAATCGGCCGATCGAAAATAATCAAGCAAGAAACCGAAGAAGGACGACTTGGAAGACAACATAAGAGAACGTACTTACTGGCATCTTTATTATGTCAGGATGCTTTCGGACAACGAGCAGAAGATGTAAGAGAGGAACTTTTCGCGCCAGACACCAAGAATCAGAAGAGGAAGAGGAAGAGGAGGAGGAGGAAGAAGAAGAAGAAGGATACTTTTGTACCACAGAAAACAAAAGAGCTTTTTTTCTCCAAGAGCAAACTGAATAAATGGCAGAAAAGACGAAATTTATTCTATTTTAAGGGAAAAAATACAAAGAAAATAAGGTACGAGAAGATTAACGCCGAAATGCCAGCCTTTTATGTGCATAACATATTCAGACCCAAAGAACAAAAACGAAGAACAGAGCAACATGTCAAGTGGGAAACAAAACAACTGGGAGATGGAAAAAAAAAGAGTAATTAAAACAATTAATTTATCATTAATTGCCACTATTTCGCCATTAATGTAGCTTGAATCCAAATAGATTGAAGATTCGATAACGTATTTTCGCCGACAAATCTACCACGCACAGGAGAGAGAAGACGACATTTTTCTTCTTAATTAAGAAAATGATTGAGGAGACAAAAAAAAAAATTGGCTGTATGAAATGAAGCTGTGCCTGACGCCAAAAAAAAAAATCGTACCTTTTTTTTTATAATTTTGTGTATTATTATTAGGACAAAGCATGTGTTTGGTTACGTCTCGTCATCGTTTTTGTTCCGTAACTATGTTTTCCGGTTGGGAAAATAAAATATATTTTTGCCATCTAAGATGTTTTTGACCGTTCGATTTTCTATTTTCTTACAGTGACTAATGATGCTCTTTCCCATAATTCTTCGACACGATCTAAGTAACGTCTTATGATGTGATGCTGCTCTTCTTCGGATATGTACATACATATATATAAAGCTCATAAAGTGTTGCATGGATACCCCCAACTATATATATATATATAGTATATCTCATGTCATATATACATATATAGTTGTTTTAATTTGGGTGGGTAATTAGTACACGACAAATTTAAAAAATAAAAAATAAAGACTACGAATATAGAATATTTGCTAAACTTTACCCCAAAAAAAGGAATATTTGCTAAGAATAATTTATGTGTTCGGGTCCTTCTTTATTACAAAACATAAATGTTGTTTATTATATCAATCATCACTCAAATAACTAATCCCAAACAAATAAAATTCTTATATAACCAGTCCATTATTTATCATGTGTGTGTTTTTCAAGTCAAAGTTAAGAATTACTAATATATATACATGTCCGAGTTTTTATTATTAAATAAAATGGAATGTAATAATAATTCGAGAATATTAAAAGAATAATATGAAAATGAGAAACAGGGTTTGAATTGAAGGGAGCACTAAATGGAAAGAGCCATGTGGGCTGACAAAGGTGAGGCAAAATTCATGGGCCCCACCCCCAATCATAGCCATTTTGCCAGTCTGGCACTCATTGTTATTTTTTTTATTATTTCCTTCCAATTAATTTCTATTTACCCCAACCAAAAAAAGGTAATAATTACTTAATAATATACGGTTATTAGTTACCAAATACTACGATGGTAATGTATTATCGATATTTATACGTTTCGACGATTGACTTTAAATTAAATATAGAATAACTAAAAATCGAATAGTTTTTTCGAAGAAATGAAATTATTTTTAATAAAAATGTATAAAATTAGATATATTTTTAAGACAATAGAAAGTAATCGAATACATTTATCTTTAAATTTTTACAAACAAAAATCTATCCAATGAAAAGGTATTTTGAAAACATTTATATTTAGGATTTTACAAATCAAAATTGACCAAATGAAAAACGAAATGGAAAAAAGTTTAGGAGGAGATGAAAGAAAGCGAAAAGGGAAGAAAGAGGATTCGGAATGATCTGTAAGAAGCGGACGTTTTGTCTGAACTGCAAATGTCTCTTTCTCTCCTCTCCCACTTATTATTACCCGATTCTCTCCCATGTTTTATTTTCTCTTTTAAAAGATATTCCCTGCGATTTTTCCATTTTTTTTATCGGTTATTATTTCAGAATTTACAAAAAAAAAAATCGTAAAAACTATCATGATATATATATATATATATATATATATTATTCGGTTAATATTTGAAGGAAAGTCCAAGAGACATGCTCAAATCCAATCAAGATACATTGCATGCGTAATTTAGGTCTTTGAAATTTGAACGACATAATAGAAATATAATATCAGATATATCGTACAAGTTTTTTAATCACATTTAATTAGCTTTTGCATCTATTAGAAAGTTGTAACGTTGTTGCCCTTCTTTACGGTTTATTTAAATAAATTTATTAAATGAGATATTGTTTATAAATTAATGGTATGTGTTTGTTCTAGTAAAAATGAAAAAAAAAATGATGTTTTATTTTCCTGTATTATCAGGAAAAAAAATCATAGAATTTTGCTTTCGAGATAGTTTGGTGGTGAGATTAAAGTTCAAAATTTAATCACGAATAAAAAATATTTAATTACAATGTTAGAGGTTGAATTCAAATGCATTGAATAAAAATTTATTCAAACTTCAAAATACTCTATGACATTGATATTTTAATGAATGAATATGTACACATGATATATGTCAAGATAAACAAAAAAAATGTATTTATTTTAATCGAAGCACTCATATATATATATATATAGTTATAAAATCAAATGTCGACGATATGTAATGTGCATGTCACATGACAAACCGCGACGAAGAAAAAATAATAGAGGTAAACGAGAGGTCACAACTTGATTGTTGGAAACATTAATTTTAATTTTTTCTACTTTTCTTCGGAGAAAAATAAATAAATATAAATTTGACTGTCCTCTTCTATTTTTAGTGTGTGTATGTATATATATATACACACAAAAATAACTTGTTGTAAAAAGGTTTGCACTATAAATGGAAAAGTGTGAACTCAAAAGAATAAGTTTTACATGTAAAAATTATTAAATTATTCAATATATTAATATAAACACGTTCAAATGAATGGTTTTACTTATTGACTGTCGATTAAGGACCTAATTTATTAAATTAATTATATAACGAATTTTATAAGTTATCTTTTTACAACCTGAATATATTCCGGGGATTTTAAAATGATTAAACAAACCAGATAATATTTTTTATTTTCTATTTTGTTTATGGTGGATCAAATAGTTCATATACGTTGTTATTAATTTACTATATATCTCATATCATTTTTTATAGTAGATGCTGTTAATGTTGGTGTTTGCTTTAAATAAATTTAGAAGCTAAATTCAAATTTTCGGTTTGAAGTTAATGGCATCACGTTTTCCAGCCAAATGTATTGTAAGGTCACATGGGGGCTCAAATGCACATGAGATCCACCGCGACAGCTGCTGATTGATTTCTTATAGAATTTTTCAATTTATACATTCTTATACTTTTGAATTTATATATTATTATATTTTAAATTTGTAAAAATATTTTTAAAAAATAAGTAGTAAAATCTGGTAAAATTGGACGGATATATTTTTTTAAAACCCGAGTTTTTTTCTTAACATTGGATAAAATGTTCTTAAGAAGATCCAAGCGTATTAAGTACTAATTTGAAAATAATAAAATGATTTTTTTAGGACACGTAATCAAATATTACACGGTCAAAGACAACCTATGACGCATTAAAATTAACATAATTATGCGATAGTATATGTAGATAGTATATATTTTTTTAATTTTCTCGATTAATATTATACAAATTGGGCCTTCAATTCTCCACCTTTACTATTTTGAGGTTAGGCCCAATAGTTTTTGGTTTTTGATTCCTTTTCTTTTTCCCCATGCAATAATGTACAGCCATCATGAAATTAAATTGATATATTCTCTAGTTTCTAAACGACTGAAGATTTCGAGTTTGAAGACGAAAATTCAAATGAATAATAATAATAATAATATTATTATTATTATTTATGAAAAATTAGTTTTTCTTGCTTGAAAAAGAAGAATGAAATAACAAAAGCTATTTATGAGGAACGGACACAAGTGGATCTGCTTCTGAACATTCTCCAATCGGAAATGTTCTTCTCAAAGACAGGCAAATCATGGATGTTGTTCCTGTCCAAGCACCCAAACCCTTGGGCTCTCTCGAAAACCCTGTTCCGTACATGTGGATAACCCCTAAACCGGTAATCGGACGGGTCAAAAACCGGGGACTCTCTACCGAACCGATTTGGGATACCGAAAACCGGGGTTTCCTCGGTTTGGTTTCCAGGGAACCTTGCAGTGTTTGCCTTCAGACACCTCTCTATCACCTTGTTCTCCTCTCTGAACCTGTCCCTTATATCCCTCAGGGTTTGAGAGAACCGGTTCGGTTTAGTTTCGGTACGTTTACCCAACGAAGATCTGTTGCATTTGGGACAGATTCTCTTTTCTCTCTCTGAATTGAAGGATCTTCTCTTCGATTCGTCGGACAGACATGAATAGGCCTACCAAAGACAATAGAAAAAACAATCCCGGTTTAAAAGCAATGCCTTTATTTCCAATCCTAAACCGGTTAGGTGATTTTTGTAACGTCTATCGTCGATTGAATCAAAGGATTCAAACTCGTGGGTTTACATAAATCATGGAATTTTTCAATTGAGGTTATTTTGAACACATATTATAATAGACTATTCAAAATGACCCTTTTGGTGGATTGAAAACCTAATTTCATATTATCTTTGGTAAGTCAGATTATCAAATATTTGCCACAAGTTATAAATTAGAAACCTTCAAAGTTGGTGTGTGTGTGTGTGTGTGTGTATATATATATATATATATAGTTGGGGGAGGAGACAGACAGAAAACATTGTACTGGAAAAATGAATGAGGTCATGGATATAACATGTTGATGCTCCTATTGAGCCTCTGATTTAATGTTATGGGTACTATTTCTCCGATTCAACATTAAATTTAAAGTCACATTCATATCCACACACACACACACACATATATATATATACGTATAGTTTTGGTAACAACAAAATACATTAAATTATAGAATTGCGGATAATATATATAAAAGGGTAAAAGAAAAAAAAATAAGGGCGTGACCTGGTGGATGAGCTTGAAGGCGATGTCTGCTTTTGGGTGATTGTTCTTATCAGGGTGAATCTGAAGAGCTGCGGAAACATATAAACAATTCCACCGATAATTAATTGATTTATTTCTCTTTCACCATTGATGCAAAATTAAACCCTAATGTAAAAGACGTACGTAACGTAACGTACCTAATGCATGATAACGTCGTCGTATAACGTCTGCCTTTGCATCTTCTTCGACCTGCCATTAGAATCGTATATATGGACAGGACGACATTAAAGTTCTTCACGATGAAGAGAATATATGTATATATATATATATATATATATATATATATAAACCTTTAAAAAAAAGAAACTTACGGCGAGAATCAGATACCAATCGATGAAACATGAAGTGCTGTTGTGAACGCAAGAGACAGGAGATGTTGGGATAGAACAAATCTCAGAGACCAAAACCCATTTTCGATCCGATTCGTGTTTGATCTTCCCCATGTTTTGGAAGAACAGTCTAAATTTCAAGGTAAAAAAAAAAACACAGAGAGAGATAACAATGAGAGAGAGAGAGAGGGAGGAGGAGCGGTTAAGGGAAGGGGGGCAGAGTTTGCGGGAGAGAATTTTGAAATCGTAAAAGCGACATAAATATACATTAATTAATAATAACTCATATATATAAAAAAACAAATACAAAATTTCAGGATGGCTTATTCGGGTTTTGTTCGATTCAATTATATTCGAATTCACCTATTCCGGTTTAAAAAGAATTATAACCTTTTATAATATTAAATTCACTTAGTTCGATTTGAGTTTTTATTAAAAAATATTTATATTATTTTTTATTTCATCCTGTTCGATCTGGATTTTTTTCGATTTTAAAAAAATTATAATCATTCGATTTTTATATTAAATTTAGTTTGATTGTGTTTACGTGTTCTATTTGATTATTCAATTATTAATTAAATAAGTAACAAAATTGTTTAAAACTGACAAAAAATAATAATTAATTACTTCTACATAAATTTCTAATAAAATAAGTTATATATATATATATATATATATATATATATATATCATAAAAACTCACTTTCAAATATGAGATTTCAATCTAAGTCGCATAATAACTCTCTTTTCATTCTATTTGACAATAAAATTGGTGGATATTAGAAATCCTCGTATAATTAGCATCTATTTACCAGAAGTTTATAAAATAATATCTATCCAAGATTTGGATGGTTCAACCGGTAAGGATGGTGCAAACATTCTTCTAAATCCAGATTCAAAATTTTATTCAGAGAAAAACATTCATCTGAACTTTTTCGATCTTTGGGGAGATATAATTGGACGAATGTCCGATAAATTTCAGGATTTATAAAAAACAATATCTTTATATATATATATATATATACACGTGTTTTAATGCTTAAACTTTCGTTTACTCTAAATATAAGTTGGCGGGATGGTTTGTGTACCGGATTATATGTGTCAACTTCAATTTCTAATACAAAATAAATATGCATCGATAATTTGATAGCAATAATTATACGAAAAACATAGTCTCTATTTTTTTTTTCAGAAACAAATACTATCTATTGCAAACTCAGCAGTATTTACATATGAAAATAGAGATAAATTAAAGGGCACATGAAACTTTGATGGAGTCGGGACCCGAAAATAAATGATGCCTCGGCTGAAACCAATGCATTACAAAAAGTGTAACAAATTAGTTGGAAAAACTATATATGTAGTGAATTGGATAATAAAAAAAAATTGGTCCCAATAAATTTGAAGAATTTTATTGGTGTATATATATGGGATATTCAAAAGTGACCAAACATAACGTACGCACCTACCATATTCTAACTACTAATTTCATATTGCCGAAAATGGTGATTAAAGCATAACTGTAACAATTTATGTTATGTTTCATTATGTACATGTTTTAAAAATAAATTAGGGGTTCAAGGGAAATTGGATTTTTGCGATTTGTCTTCTGGTGTTTGATGTTTGACTACATAACTAGGCAGCCCAAACCACAAAGTTTGGTGATGAGCTTCTGCACCTAATATTTTGCATATTTACCTATATACTCCCTCCGTTTCAAAATATTTGTAGTTTTAGGTTATTTTCCATGTTTCAAAATATTTGTCATTTTACATTTTCGAGACATTTTTTTACAATAGTTTCCAATTTTATCCCTATCAAATTCCAATAAATTATTAATGATAACATTATTTTTATCATTAAATAAGGGCAAATATGACCTTTTATTTTTTTCTTAAAAAATGTGAAAAATCCTAAAACTACAATTAATATATAAATTTTGTTTTCACCAAGCCCAATATCATTGGTTGGCTTCATTGTAATAATGGCAAATATGAGCTTATACATATATATATATATATATATATATATATATTAAAATCCGGATTTAACATAACTATTGTTTTTAATAATTCAAATGTTAAGTCAAATTTAGCTGTTGTGAATTGTCACCCAAAGCAAAGCCATACATTTTGGGATGCTAACTTGTCCAGTTTCTAGATAATATGATAATATTTCTTAATTTATTATCTCATATTTACAATCTCTCTCACTATACATACACATACACATACACATACACACACGCTTATACATAAGCATATGATTTTCTTGTCCGTGTATTAAAAATCATATTAATTACAGACATAAATTTTATTGTCTTTCAAAACGGAACATGGATTTTTACCAACAAAATATATACTCTACAAGCGGATAATTTATTCTATAGAGAAGAGATTACATGTCTAAAAACTCATATTTTTATCAATAAATTATATTTTTTTAAGTATAACATAATCTTTTACAAAAAAAACAAAATAGATAGCAAATATGGAATTGTCTCCATTCGTACCATATTAAATTAAATACTGTTGTCATAGGGTCAGTCCAACGAGCCCAATATCTTTTTTTTGACTTCGTTGTAATAATGCCAAATATGCTTAGAAGCATATTTATATTTTTCTAAAATCCAGATTTGACATAACTACTATTTATAATTCAAAATGTTATCAAGGTAAATGACAAGTCAAATTTAGCTGTTGTGAATTGTCACCCAAAGCAAAGCCATACATTTTGGGATGCTAACTCGTTGAGTTCCTAGAAAATAATTTAATAATATTTAATTTATTTGTTCATATTTACATGCACAGACACTCTCTCTCACACACACATTTATACATATATAGACACATGTATATATACGCATGTGTATGCGTATATATATATGGGTATTTTTATGTTTTATTTATTATTTTTAATTTGTTGATGATGTGACGTTGAATGCTTGGAACGTCAGCATATTGTTGTACAATGTCAGCGATAAAATATGGAAATATTTGATCAACAAAGTAAAGATGTTGATCTAAAAAAAATTATGATTTAATTAAATTCTAACCAACCACGATCAAATTAGATATTGCCATATTGGCAACCCATCAAATTCATAATCTTGGTTTAAAAGATAGGCCTAATTTCAGTTTAGCCCAAATAAAGTGTAAACGTATAAAAGCCCACTAAGGGCCCAAAACCGCGACGGTAACACACGTGTGAATACAGAACACGCGTTGGATTTATCTGCCCGCACGGATCAAGAATCCAGTTCAAGATATATATTTTTTTTCTCAAATTTTCCCGTTTTTTTTTTGGAAAACTATAAAATAATCTATGAGCCGAGAGCTGCTTCGGATTCTTCTCTGTGATCGGGTCTTTGCAAATCGAAGGTGGTCTGCGTGGAAGTTTTCTGGATCATGGACTTCTCTCTAATCGCCGATACTGTTTCCGTCGTCGCTGCGCGTCAATGCGTAGGGTTCGGAAAGTTTATGTTCGAACGGGGAGATTTGGCTTCTGGTAATCATGCTTCGTTTGCGGATTCTGATGGAGATCAAATCCTGAGGAGGAGGAGTACGGATATCGACGGCTATTTTCTCGGTCTACGGGATTTCAAATCCGCCGATGAAATCCAGCGCTTACAAGATGATTCACCGGACGCTTCGCCGGAAAAGGCGGCGCACGAGGCTAATCTAGTTTATCTGTGATTCCGAGGACGGAGAAGATCTCGTTCGTTTTCTCTTGGACGGTGATAACGGCGGTTTTGACTGTCCATATGGCTTGGCCGGCGGCGACGGGAACGACGATGGTCGAGAGTGGAACATCGGCTGATTCGGAGGGAGAAACTGGGACGAATTATCTTCGTGGCCATCGTGGTCGGATCCGGCTATGGAATTCGTGTACGAGGTGTTATGTTGGATTGCACTGTCGACATGCGTGCATTTCGCCTTCAAGAGGATCGTTAGGATCATAACGGATAGTGAGAGAGAGAGATTGCCCAGGAGATTAACTCTGGTTTGCTGATAATTCGTGTTGGATTGATTAGCTTCTATCGAATATCGATTCAGGGTTATTTCCATGGGTATTCAATGCCACGGCGAAAGGGTTATTTCCAGATAAGACGAAAGGGTTCAAATTCCCAGCAATGGATCATCAAGCACCTAAGATGAAAGAAACCCAAAGGAATAGACTCGATCAACATGAAAAGATGGATTCAATGAAGCAAATACGGGGAATGGGAGAGAGGAAGAAACCACAAACAGACCAAAGCCGAAGGGGGTCAACATTTGAAAAGATGGATTCATCATTTACGTGATCAGCAACACTGCCGAAAAGGGTCTGATCCGATTCTGTGGTCAGCCACTGATTCACCTGTAGGGCTTCGGCGGAATGACACCAACTCGGAGACCTACCGTCTCTATATCAATAACCACAGTGAGTTCTCGAATGGAAAGTTGAATGCTTTATGCAGTTTCCCTTGTATGGAAATTGGAGATCTCTCCGGAATCAGGAAACTAATGACACCCTTAGCTGTACGATGTCCCCCTTGATGCATTTCGGATTTGCCGTTACGTTTCTTTGTATAAAGCTCACCTGTATCCCCACCTGATTTCCCACTTTCCCTTCTGCTTCAGAAACCAACATCTCGTCTGAGCGAAAATAAGGATTCTTTTACATCCTTCTCCTTCAGCACATTGACCAAGTGGGTTTCCACAATCTTCCTTAGAGGAAAAAAACTCCACCTCTTTCTCTTCATCCTCTTGACAATTCCGGTCGCAGTTACAGCATAATTACTTATTGTATAGACAGGTTTTGATTGAGTACAGGAAAAAGTTTTTGATTTTTCGCTTCGCGTAAGGGATGGCGGTTCTGGGTACTAGGAAGGTGGCAAAAATGTACAATTAGATTCTGGAACACAGGAGAATATCGACGATGAAGGTGCCCAAGTCTGAACGTGCAACGGAGATGCCGGCCCTCCAGGTTTACTCCCGCGATTCAAAGCGGAAAAAGCTCGCTACTAAACTCGTTCAGGTCTCTCTCTCTCTCTCTAAAGTCGTTGTCCAGGTTTCCTCTTTTAAGTTGTCACCTTTGTGGTTGTTGCAAATGTTACAAAGGAAAATTAAGCTGTCATCTGAGAGATGGTTTTGGTTTTGCTCATATTCTGTCTTGTTTGTCATGGGATTGTATTGTGCTTTAAATTTTGTATTCTGTGTAGACCAGAAAATCACAGTTGTTGATGAACTTATGGTAGTTATGTTTGTAAATCTTTGGACAACTAGCAAAACGCTGGAGGCGATCCTCTTGGATGTCATCCATGTAATGTTGGTAAGACTTGTACATCTACAATTCTGTCCCTTCTGTTTGTGGGATTTTGCTTCCTCGATCCATCTCCAACGAATGTTGTTTTACCCTTCTCAGAACAGTTGACAAGCATGCCTTCTACCTCATGTATGCCAGACAAACGCATACTCGAGCTTATACTTGATATACTTCAAAGGTTGCATTTGTTGACTTGAGACACACTGTTACTATTGCTGCGTATCTATGAACATCATATAATTCTTTTGTCTTCTTCAATGCCCTTTTTCATGTTTAGGAGAGACACCCACGAGATATTCGCGCAACCTGTTGATGCAAATGAGGTTTGTTACCTCTTTCCATTGTTTTCAAAGCATTTCAGATAGTCATGCCTTTATTACCCATATATATACTCAGGGATCTTTCTTTTGTATTGCTTAAATAAGGTTGAAGGTTATTATGAGATAATCAAAGAACCCATGGATTTTGGGACCATGAGAGCTAAACTTCATGAAGGAATGTATTCGGGCCTTGAAGAGTTTGAGGTCTGCTTCTTTCTTAACAGTTTTTCTGTTTCTGGGTAGAAATTATGTATTGACATTAAATGTGACACTGCTTTTCTACGTAACTTTAGAAGTTAGCACACAATTCTTATCCGTTGATAAAACATTGCCTCACTGCTTGCTGTCTACGTATGGATCTGCATTTCACATTTGCTTTTGATACCAAGCGCAAGTACGAGTCCTATAGAGGTAGAGAAAGTTTGACTAATGCGTGAAAACACCACTGGATGGACCCTGGCTTGCAGCATGATGTGTTTTTGATGTCAAGAAATGCTATGCAATTCAACTCTTCATCTACGATTTACTTCAGGCAGGTAATATCTCCAAAACTTTGTTGTTACTTTTTTGTTTTGATTGAAGTTTATGCTATGAAACTGTGATGCACTCCAATGGCTTTACAGGCTCGTGCAATACATGAACTAGCCAAAAGAGTCTTCCATACTCTTAAGACGGATCCTGAGGTTTTTGGATCAAAATTCTCACAGACAAGGAGAAGAAGAAAGTCCAGAAGAGTTAAAAGTGGAGATAGAGTTTCATCAAATAACTGTCAAAAACCCATGATGCCACACTCAACGAGTAAAGATGACAATCTTTCTGGCAGTTACACCTATGAAGCGTTTGCCGGTAAGGAACTAGTGCGCTTGTTGGACCAAGAAGATCTTTGTTGAATGGTTTCTGCCATTATTGACGTTTATATTCTTCTGTGCAACAAACAGGTGACATACACAGAGAAAGTGAAAGTAGTAATACTCGGCGTTCCACATATATCCGTTTGCCATCCTTCTTAAACGAAGAAGGCAACACAGCTGTTTCAAAACGGCTCATGCCCGTCGTAAGCCACATTATATGGCCTTGCCATTCTTATAAATTTCTCCTTTTGAATGAAGTCCCTTCTCTTTTCATGGTTTTCTTTCCTTTTTTTCAGGTAGATTTAGCAGAGATGGGATATAAGGAAAGTCTGATGATGTTCTCTAAAAGCTTAGGGCCAACTGCCCAAAGAATTGCAGCACATAAGCTGCAGTTTGCATCATCCTCTACCCTAACAGCAGATGCCGCACCATTCGAGCCAGCTTCTTATGGTTTATCGCATCCGTTTCGTATGAACGGAGTCAGTCACTCGGGTTCTGCTTCTTCCTATTTGATCTCCTCCGAGACTTTCAGACAATGTCAACCAGACCAAAACTGATGGAGATGAAGCTGACTAGGCCAAGTCATTCATTCTCTAAAACCTCGTTATGAGGCTTGGAAGTTCCTTTTTTTTTAATACAAAAAAAAAAGTTCATTTTTTTTTTGGGTCTGAAGTTCACCTTACATCTGCCATGTCTATGGACACACAAAAAGAAAGATCTTGGTTAAGGAACCATATATTAGCAAATAAAAAAAGATTTTTGAATATTCTTTTTTCAATTTTGATGAAGTAGGAATCAACAAGAACAAAAGCATAAAAAGAACAATTCTTTGCGACAAGGAATGGAGATTCGAGGCAATGTTACAGAATTACGGCGGAGAATGAACTAAATCAATCATCAAGGCAAAGGGAGAAAAAAAATCACCCAAATAACCCCCAAATAACCCACTTGGGTCGCATCTATTTCCGTGTACACCACCCAAAAAAAAAAAATTTTTTTTCAATTTTAACCCACGGTGGGAAAAGTCTGAAATACCTTTTTCGTTTTATTTTTTACGACTTTATTACGATTAACATATAACTGATATACAACTAAAAATAAGACAGATGATTTTTTGCCACCTTTTTTAGAATCAGTTGTAACTATATTTAGACTTAATTACGAAGTCGTAATAACGAAGTTGTTTTTGAACGGATAAATATCGTAATTCATTAAGGGTAAATTCGTTTTTTTGCAGAGAAAAAAATGTGTTATGTTTTCGGTGTGTACAGATGAAATAGATGCGATCACTTGGTTTATTTGGGTAAAAACCCCGGGGGGGGTGTGCGAGAGTCAAGCAAGCGAGATCTTTTTCTTTTTTTTTTTGGTTCATCCACAAAGGAAAACCGAACCCAAGATCGAATTCCAGAAACTTGGCAGAAAAACCCGCTGCAATGATCCATAATACCGACAGGAACAAGGGTTTTAAGGAACGGAGAGCCTTCTTCTCGAGCTCGATGCTCCATTTCCATGGCGCAAGCTGCCGAAACCTTTTCCATGGTTGGTTGGTTACTCCGCTCGGAATTCTTGTCGAATATGATAAATTGGTAAATATAACGGTTGCATAAAAATCCCGCTTCTCTGTTTACCCTCTACTTCTTTCGCTGTTGTTGTAAACATAGATTGAATATACATATGCATGTAGATTCTGCAAAGCTTTTTGGTGTTTCCTGTCTTTGAAACATTCAAAATTGTTCCTTTCTTTTTTCCTGATTTTGATCGTTTCAGAAAGCGACTGGAACTGGACTAGAAGCCAGGTCAGGAGGTCTCGAAAGATTCCATAAGGTAAAAAAAAAAAATTATTGTTCACATGGGGTGAAATTTTTTGCAAGAGATTTGGCAGTGCCCCCTTTTCTTTCCTCATACAATTACAACAACAACAAAAAATCTCTTTTTTTTTTTTCCCTCTATCGATTCTGTCTTCCTCCTTTCTTTCCTCTGCGACCACAACACCCATCTGGCATCTGGTCACGCCCCTTTTCCGGCAAATCTCTTCCGAGGATACCCACCATGTCTGGTTTGCATAATCACAACTTCTCGCCCGCAAGAGCAGCTTCTCCTCAGATTAGAAGCACTCCTGATGTCGATAGGTGTTTTCCCCCTTCTGCAACTCCATGCTGCTTTCTTCTACGGCTTCTGCTTTCCCCTTTATCTCTCTGTCCATCGATCTGTCTTGTGGGTTTTGGGTCGGTGAATTCACTCGTTTTCCTCGTCTATATCTTTGTCCTGCTTACAGCCAGTACTTATCTGAGTTGCTAGCAGAGCATCAAAAGCTTGGACCTTTCATGCAAGTACTTCCCATATGCAGCCGACTCTTGAATCAAGGTCACTCTTCTCGATTCGTCTTTTCCGGATCCGAATTTGCCCGCACTTATATCCCATAGATCATCTTGGAATTGCTGATTCTTTCAGCATCATTTTTCCCTTTTCTCTCAAGTGGGTCGTCTATACACATAATTGGAATTTAGGCCACATTTATCCTCATGGGTAATCTTGCAGCTGGCCATTGTTGGAGGTCTTGATGCTCTAAAGTTCTGGTTGTTGTGTTACAGATGGTATTTTGACTCGCAGAATTGTACTCTATCTTCAGTTCCCCTATATGATTACCTTACAGTATAAAAGCCGGATTAGCAGGCAGTGTTTCTATTCTCTTCATGCTAAATATTAGGCTGGATTAACATCAGTGTAATAGAATCAGTGCCTTGATATATGAATTGGGTTTCCTGTGGCTTTGCTGGATACGGTTTAGGAGAAAAACTCACACACGTCATGTAGCATTGGTTGTAAAGTATCGGGCTTTTTTATTACATTGCTAATAGCAATGCATTTCCGCCTTCTGTAGGTGATTTGTCCTCTGTTTTAATGGCTTCTTTAAATCCTAACTGTAGACTTCTTTCCAATCTGCAGCATGTGGTTGTTACTCTTTATTGATTGGTTTTTTTGACATCCTTAATTTTGTACAGAGATCTTTCGGGTTTCGGGAATGATGTCCAACCAAGGGTTTACCGATTTCGATAGACTGCGGCACCGAAGTCCTAGTCCAATGGCTTCACCAAATATAATGTCCAATGTTCATGGTGCTGGATTTGGTGGTTGGGAGGTAGCCACTTCCTTTACCTGTCTTATTCCCCTCTATCAATCTACCCCTTTGTAAGGAATGCATGCAAATCATTGGCCTTCAATCGACCGTATCATACAGGGCTCCAATATTTTTGTTCTTCATGCTGTTCAATCTACCCCTTTGAATCAGTATTAAGCCTTAACATGTGTTGGAACTCGTTCACAAGTCTCATGAAAGTGGATCCTTTTTTATCGTTGTTGTAGAGATTAGGCGGACCGCCTGGAATGGCAATGGAGTGGCAAGGGGCACCTGCCAGCCCAAGTTCATACACAGTGAAGCGCATATTGCGTCTGGATATTCCAGTTGATACATTTCCAAACGTTAGTTAGCACTGTTTTATTCTCCTTGGATTGTCGGTTGTGATCACTAACAAGATTTCCATGTCCGGTTGGTTGTAGTTCAATTTTGTTGGAAGGCTTCTGGGTCCAAGAGGCAACTCGCTGAAGCGAGTGGAAGCAACCACAGGCTGTCGGGTGTACATAAGAGGAAAAGGGTCGATTAAGGATCCCGACAAAGTAAGAAGGAACGCATAACATATTCATTTGCTTTCTCTTCTTTTTATGTTCCATGTTTTTATGGTTGTTCTGTTTTTGTTGTAGGAAGAGAAGCTACGGGGGAAGCCAGGCTATGAGCATCTCAATGAGCAGCTGCACATCCTAATCGAGGCTGTTCTCCCTGCCAGTATCGTGGATATTAAACTGCGGCAGGCGCAGGAAATTATTGAGGAGTTGCTCAAGCCTGTGGTATGCTCCTTAACCTAGTTTTTTTTTTGGGAGATGATAAATCTATCAATTTCCCTCAAGTATCCGGTCTAAAAGTTTCAGTATGCATCCTATATAATGTAAACATTGAGAAATTGTAAATGCAGGATGAGTCGCAGGACTACATCAAGAGGCAGCAACTGCGGGAGCTTGCACTGCTGAATTCAAACTTGAGAGAAGACAGCCCGGGGCCAAGCGGTAGTGTCTCTCCTTTCAATTCAAATGCAATGAAACGCCCGAAAACGGGACTCTAGGAAATCTATTTGTTTTGGAAATACAACAGGATTTTGGAGAGGGGATGAATATATATATATATATATATATATATATATATATATATGTGTGTGTGTGTGTGAGTTGTGTGTGGTCTTGTTCTTGTCCTTGTCATCCACTCTTGATTCAGCACAAAGTACAAGGGTGGCCTAACAACAACAGTTCATGCTGGGTTTGTGTGTTTCTCATGTTGGGAGGGAAAAAAAAATATAGTTAGATTGTTGGGGTTGTACGTGAACCATAAAGACACATTCATTGGATTTATTCATGTGTTTAAGTGTTAAGTATCGATGGAAATGTGCAGACAGCCGCCATAGATATTATGGGAAGAAAAGTTGATGTGATCTTGAAGACGGATTGCATTTTTTTTTTGGTTATTTTTAGTTGGAGATGACAGAGCAGATGCAGAGATCGGCAAACACATTCCAGATATTTCACTCCCTAGGAACGAGATCTGAAAAATTCATTATTTTTTTTATAATCCAAAAGTTTATCGGACATTCAATGCAATTACATCTTTCAAATGGCCGTAAGAATCAGATGAATGTCCATCTCTAAACGAAAACTCGTTGGAAATGATGTTTATCCTATCGGTAACCTTACCGGTTGATCGTCTATGTCATAATTAGAAGCTTGGAATGTATCTTCCTTTTCATAATGTGACCTATCAATCAGTAACCCGACCTCTATATATATGTGTGTGTATATATATATATATAAATGGTAGGAAGCAGAAACGGCCACCTGAGACACAAGTTGTTAGAAACTCAGGTTATTGCAATAAAGTCCACCATGTTGTGTAATAACGGGCCGAATTAGAAAGATGCGGCAGCTTCACGCGCCTTACGTGAATCGTCATATTATCACATATATAAATGCATATATCACATTTTCATAGTTTATATAGATTAGAAGCATCTATATCTCATTTATGTCGCGTACCAACTCTTTCGCCTTCTGGGGTCACCTCAGCATTAACGATCACATCCATCATCCATATGTTACATTCACAACTCTCTAATTTTCAGATTTTTTTTCTTTTCTTTTATATAAAATAAAAAAAATTAAAGCGTACGGACTTTGCTAAAACCATCAGATTATACAAGAAATTAGCAGAGGGAGAGGAGAGAATGGTCCCAATTCCCCAGACAGCGGATGGAATTAAATGGGGAGAGAGAACGGAGTCAAAGCAGAGAGAGAGAGAGAGAGAGAGAGATTGGAATCTGCAACGAACATCGAGATTTGCGAGTAAACGTTGCAGAAGAGCG